AAAAAAAAAAAAAATTATCATAGAAATCCCATGACTCAGCAATTCTACTACTTGGTATATACCCTGAGAAAATGAGAAATGAGGCACAAGTGGAAATTTGTATACCAATGTTCACAGCAGCAGCATTCACCACCGCAAGAACATGGAAACAGCCCAGATGTCAAATCACAAATTAATAGATTGAGAGAAATTATGGTACATTCACACAATGGAATACTATGCAGCACACAGGAGCAACAACTTTGTAAATTTTTACCTAACTTGGGAGGGACTGGAGAGCATAATGCTGTGTGAATTCAGTCCCACAAGGATAAATATTGTATAAAACCATTGTTGTAGAATGAGTATTAGGATCCAAGAGGGGTGGGAGAGGTTGGAAACAGAAGGATGAGGATATACAGGGGAAGGGGAGGATTAATCATGGGATTGTACAATTTGTTGGTGGAATGAGGGATATTGAAAGAATTAGTTCTTAAAAACAATGTATTCAAAATTTGTAAATAAGCTAGTAGAAATTAAAAAAAGAAAACAAAGATTCTCACCACAGGGCCAACTGTCAGTATATTGATAGACGGTGAAGAGATTGAGATTGTTAATAATAGCTTGCTTGGTTCCACAGTCATCCCTCTTGGCATCGGGAATCAGGAAATCAAAAGAAGAATTGCATTGGAAAATCTGCTGCCAGCAACGATGTTAGTCTAGAGACTAAGGTGCTCCTGATCCAGGTCATGGTCTTTGCAATTACTTGCTATGTGTCAGAGAACTGGACAATGATTAGGGATGATAGAAGAAGAATTGATCACTTTGCATTGTGATGCTGGAGAAGAGTATTGAATATACCATGGACTGCTAGAACAACAAACAAGTTCCTTCTAGAGAGGGTGAAACTAGGCTGCTAAAACATTTGATGGCTAAGCATCTAAGAGCTGGACAATGACTAAGGATAATATAAGATGAATCAACGTCTTTGAGTTTGTGGTGCTGGAGAAGAGTGTTGAACATACTGTGGACTGCCAAGAGAACAAACAAGTCTGTCCCAGAGAAGGTGAAACTAAGTTTCTCCTGGGAGGCAAGGAGTGTGAAGCTCCATGTCACATACATTGGGCACGTAGCCAGGAAGGACCAGTCCTTGGAGAAGGATATCATGTTTGTAAGGATGAGCAGATAGCTCAGGAGAGGAAGACCCTGAGTGAGGTGGATTGACTCAGTGACTGGGGCAACGGGGTTTAGTGTGTTAGAGATGATGAGATTAGCTCAGGATAGGGTTTTGTTCAGAGCTATTGTACATAGGCTTGTTATGAGTCAAGGTGACTTGATAGCACATAACAAGAAGATGATGCTCTTTTTTTCCTCTATACTCATTTTATACTGACAAAGATAAATTTTTCTTTTATATTCCCATTGGGGGAGTATACTATGAATTTTATTTGCATAATTATTATAAGGTCCTAGACCACAAGGTGGGGGAAGGTGTTCTGGTAGCCTATTCTGTAGAGAGTTGCTCTGCTATTCTAAAGGCCAAGCCCTTTTGTTTGTTCAAATTCACCAGCAGCTCTGTGGCAGAATGATGGGCAGTCTCTTCCCATATGATTTACAGCCTCAGAAACCTGCTAAATTTATAAGTTGATTTAACTTCCCTACAAAGAGAGTGAGTGGCCATAGCCAAACATGTGTTTGTTTCTAGAAACAAGTTTATTTACAGGAGGATCATTCAAGTATGGTTACCTAGGAGAGGACAGGGGAAGTAAAAATATAATTAATAGTCAATACACAGTCACTAGGGAGCTCTGGTAGCCTAGTGGCAAGAAGCTGTGCTGCAATCCCAAAGGTACATGATTCAAGGCAGAGAAGGATGGGCAATCTCCTCCTATGTGATTAACTGCCTATGAAAACCTGCTGGAGGGTCAGCGATGGATTGGTTCCGGCTCTACAGTAAACAACAACAGCAGTTGCATATAGGGAGCTCTGGTGGCCTAGTGATAAGAAGCTGCGCTGTAGTCCCAACGGCATGTGGTTTGAAACCAGCTGCTCCTTGGGAGCAGGATGGACAATCTCCTCTCATAGGATTTACTGGCTCTGAAAGCCCATTGTAGGGTTAACCATGGGTTGGTTCCAACTCAACAGTACTCAAAAACAACAAAGTGCATCTTGGGAGAAGGGAAGGGATGAATAGTAAAAAGACCTCTGTTATTCGGTGCCTGTTAGGCAATAAGTTAAAATGTCGTTGTGTCAGTTTTAGCTCATGATGACTCTGTCTTACAGGGTAGAATTGACACGTATGACTATCTTGATTGTATTATTTACGGAATACAAAGGGCAAGTCTTTTCTTGGTGCCACTTGTTGATGTGAACCTCCAACCTTTTGGTCAGCACTTGCGTGCAATCCATTGCCCTACCCATGGAAATTGTATTTCTTTTTTCAAAGCACATCTTCAAATTATATAAGTACTATAGTCCTTATTTCTTCAAACAAAAGTAAGATTAAAACACTACCAAAAAATTATGAAGGCCCTCGACCCTACAGTTAGTAAATGGTGATGACTTTGTTTAAAACTCACCCTTTGGCTTCAAGTCAATCCCACCTAGTAGTGACCTTTCAGTGGTTTTCCAAAGATGTAAATATGAACAGAAGGAGACTACCTATGAGTCTCCTACAGAGCTGTGAGTGGACTTGAATCCTCGGAGATGTAAAACCTTTTGGTTGATAGCACAACACTCAGTGGACTAAGCCACTAAAGTTCCTTTATTTAAAACTCACTCTATCTAATGTCAAGTCACTTCCCATTTGTACAATTATTGGTGGTAAAATATTACCAATTCTTTGTAGGCCTTATTGTGAAATTCTTATGAATTAAAATTATTTATTTCAAGAAATAATTTATCATATGTGCTATATAATGAACACAAAATATATCTGACTACTGAAGGGGCATTTAAAATTAATATTTGCTAGACCATTAAGTTCTTCAAGAAAGATGTTGTTTCCTTTATTTTTAATCTCTGTGGACTGTACAATTGAATGAATGAATTGGTGGGGTTTTGTTGTTGTTGTTGAGTGAAGGTGAGCCATCTCTCTAATCAGAGAGGAGCTTGTAGATGTGTAACGTGTCATCATCCTGAACTAACATGGCAAAATGGCACACGGTGTGTCCATTCAAAGAGACCTTTGGAGGCTTAGTGGTAAGGAGTTGCTTTGCCAACCCAAAGGCAGGACCTTTGGAGGCTTAGTGGTAAGGAGTTGCTTTGCCGCCCCAAAGGCAGGCAATTCAAATCCACCAGCTGCTCCGTGGGAGAAAGATAGGCTGCCTTCTGTGCGATACTGGCTTCTGAAAAGCTTCTGACCCACTGTCAGGTCAGCTATGAGTCTGTTCTAACTTGACAGCATGTAATAACAGTATGTCCGTTCAAATAGAACAGCAAGTAATACATGCGGGAGAGGATGTGGAGGGATAGGAACTCTTAGCACATTGTCTGTGGGACTTGAAAATGGTACAATCACTTTGGAAGGCAGTTTAGGGTTTCCTCAAAAAGCCGAAAGTAGAAATTCTGTATGACTTAGCTCTTTACCACTTGGAATATAACCCAAGAAAATGAGAACTGAGGTACAGAGACTGGTACACCAGTGTTCATAGCAACATTTTTCGCCATTGCAAGAACTTGGAAACAGCCCAAATGTCCAACACAATCAAATGGATTGAGAAATAGTATATTCACACAATGGAAGGAATGGGGCAGCATGCAGGAGAAATGGTTTTCTAAATTACTAACTAGGGAGAAACTGGAATGTTAAGTGAACCTACTCAGTCCAATAAAGACAAATATTGTAAAAGACCATTAGTATGGAACGAGTATGAGGATTCAAGGAGGGGGAAGGGAGGAGCACAAGGGTGGGGGTGAAGCATCACAATTTGATGGGTAACAGAGACAAATGGGAAAGATCAGGTTTGGAAAACTGTATATGTACTTTGTAAATAAACCAGTAAAAGTAAATTTTAAAAGCAAAAAAAAAAAAAATAAACAAAACAACCAAAAAACACAAAAACAACCAACACCAAAACCCAACAACAACATATGTTAACAACATTGAAGCTTCGTTTCCCTCTAACTGAATGTTGAATCATTTTTTTTTCTGATGATTACCTGGAATTGTTGTAGATCAAGTTCTTTCACATCCTTATTAATAATACTGACATACAATACCCTCAAATGTTGTTGTTGTTGTTGTTGTTGTTTGGGTTTTTTTAATTTAGGTTGTTTATTTTTTATTTCAATGAACATCTACAGAGATTTTGGGATTCCATTCATTCATTGTTGCACCCTTCTCCCCGCACAAACCCCTCCCCCCCATTTGCTCCTCTCCTTGAAAAGCAAAAGAAAAACTCCCTCATTGGTGCACAATCCCCCCCCCACCGCACCTCCCGTCGAGTGGCTTGCGACACATAGCGACCCTATGTACGACAGCCCTAAACTCCACTCTGTCCTGTGCCAATCGCACTGTCTCTGACACTCCCATCCAAATTACCCCAGTCACTGAATCAATCCACCTCATAGAAGGCCTTCCTCTCCTGCACTGTCCCTCCACCCTCCCAAGCATGATGTCCCTCTCCAAGGACCGCTATCTCCTCACAACATGTCCAAAGTATGTTAGATGGAGCTTCAGAATCCTTGCCTCCAAGGAGCCACCCGGTTTAACCCTTTCCAGGACAAATCTGTTTGTTTTCCTAGCAGTCCATGGTATTCTCAATATGTGACTTTAATTTGTAAAGAGACACACACCAACCTTATTTAGTTGCTTAGCCTCTTAGTAGAGAACTTGCTGGTGTGTGTAAGTGCTCCAGTTCTTGCCTAGATTTATATTCCAGTATCATTCATTTCTTGTTGCAGGTGAAAACAAATGACAGAGTGGTGAAGATGGACCTCGGGTTGCTCTTTTTAAGAGTCCGCAACTCAGATGCTGGGACCTACTTCTGTCAAACAGTTGAGCAGAGTTTTGTCCACGTTGTCCGTAAAATCACCTTGGAAGTCGTGGGGGAGGACAGAGTGGATCAAATGTTCAACAAGAACTTTCAGGAGGATGGGCCTCACAAGATGCTTTGTCCTGCGCCCAGCAGCAGCCCACAAGGAGTCAAACCGTGGTACAAGGAATTCTTACAGTTGGTTGGTTACAACAACTTCCAGAGAGTGGAGGAGTACTGTGAAAAGGTGTGGTGCACAGAAAAGAAGAGGAAAAAGCTGAAAATGTCACCCTCCAAGTGGAATTACGCCAACCCACACGATAAGAAGCCACGTCCCAGGTCTGAGCGCTATCGCCCGCCCAGACACACGCCTGAGTCCTGAAGGGATGGGACCGGCCCCTGGCTGGGCGAGAATTTCTATCAGAACCTTAAAAAGTTATGAGATATAATCCAACTCCTTTGCGTTACTTAAAATAGGTTTCTGTAATACAGAAATGACTGTAAATGTGTGACACTAAATTATTCTATGTACTCATTTGAATGGTAAGGCAACACATAAAATATTTTTTTTTAAAAAAACAATACAAAGAAATGTATTACTAGGATGATGTCGTGTTGTACTCACCCCAAAAATGACCATAGTTGTAGTTTTGAGTACTGTGGCTGCTTTTCTATGACTGTGATTATTTGACACTTGGAAGATGAGGAACACTGGGACATTGAAAATAAAAGATGATATTTCATATGCACAGGAAAAAAAAATACATTAATTATTCTGCATTTCTCACCTACCATGATATCAATTATGCAGGATATCAGATCTTTCCTGTTCTCATGTGGACTAACTACATTTTAAGAATTATTGAATTCGTCTCTACAAAGCAGGTGTGCTATGATTGTTGAAAAGCTGAAAGGAAAAATGTCGTTACCCTGACCCTCTTGTCCTTTCATAAAACATTCACTCAACCAAATTAATAATATTTTTGCTTCACAGATGGAAATAGACTTTTAAAATTTCACTGCAGTGTGAAAGAATGACGGTAAGGTAACTTCTCAGTGAGATACCAAAGAATGTCCAAATACATGGCATTGCAGTTAGAATTCGAATTAAGATGTTTTCTGCTGCCCTCTTGTGGTAGACAGCTTATATTATCATGTCATCATCTTTTTTCTTTTAATCCTTGAAAGCAGTTTTCTCAGATTCTCAAAAGCATGTTGAGAAACAAATTAAGTGAAGTTTTTTTTTTAAATTAGATACAAATACATAATAGCTATGTCATATTTTAAGATGGAGCTAATGCAGTTATGCTTAATTGATTACCTCACAAGCCAACCATAAAGAGATTGTAGCACTGGAGGATCATTAAAATGTGAACTTTTAATTCTTCTAAATAATTTCCAAAGAATCTAAAGATACTCCATAGATATAGCATTTTACCATTGGAAAAAATATTAAAAAATATTGAACCAATTTACGTTCAGAAATCCATTTGTTTTCTTTCTTTTGTATTATTACCAATAAAACCGCTTTATAAGCCTAGTTGACTGTAAAATCTTTAGAGAATTTTCACTTTGCTTTTTTAAATATGAGCAAAAGGATTTATACTTGAGAATGTTTATTTCCTGAGTTTTTCCTTCTTCTATTATAAGTATTGAAAATTTACTTTTCAAAGATATAAAATTTTATGCTTTCATTTACATTTTTAAAATTAAAATTCATGGATTACCCATGAAAACAACTGTATTTATTTTAAATGCTAATTTTAAACAGTATTTATTTCCAATTTGAAAGTTAACTTATAGGCTATATAATTATGACATTTAATGTGCAGCTAACTCTTAATAGTCTGTCATTTCATTTTGACGTCATCAGTCACTGTTTCAAGAAAGTTTAAAATGAACATTCAAATAAGTCCTCAAATTATTTTTTAAAAAATCTATAACATACAAACATATAAACCAACATCCTATGAAAATTTCTTGCCATTTACCTACAAATCTTAAAAAATCCACTATGATTAGTTAAAATCAACCTTTATTGGAAGATATCTTTAAAAATCTGTACTTACGTAAAAAATTACCAAACCTGAAAAACAGACCTTACATACAAATTACTAGGTCAGAAGTAAATTTTATGTCAGAAATACTCAAAGTGAATAGACATATGACTTCATTCAAAATATATGTTATTCAAAACATTCTTCAATTAGCATGAGACAATAAAACAAAATTTGTGAATTCCCATTTCTTTGAAAGTTTAAGGCAGATAATATATGAGCAGTTATTTTCATTTCAATGACACCTATATGTAGTCAATAGTAATAATAATGATGCCACTTTTGAATAAAATCATTTGGTGTCTAAGTGATAATGCTAAGGAAAAAGAACTTTTATGATATGATTCTTAAGGATCATTCTTACAAACTGATTAAAGTGGGATAACTATTAACCTGAGAATAAATAAACCTTTTATGTATAGTTGATTCTGAAAAAAACCAATTCCACCTAAAAAAATTCATGAAAATGGTTCATGGAAAGAGGATCCATACAAAAATCATGAGGGCTTAGGTTCACAATTTAGGAAGAACAGATATAAATTTTATATATGTCAAATTATGGTGGTAGCTGAAAGGAACTGAGAACGTATAAAAGGAGAAAAGAGACAAGGTTCCAGGGATAAAGTCCCATGGCCATAATTTTCATTCTCTTTCTCCTTCCTCCTCACAACACACAGACACAGATACACAGACACACAAATCTACATTGTCATCTCAAAAAATAAGCACTCCATGTTGCTCTGTCCTTTAGAATCTGAAAATGCTACAAAATCATACTCCCGGTCTTTTGTTCCGTATAGGATTAGAGTTTAAATTCACAATCTCATTTAAGAAATGCCTAGACTTTGAATCTACCAAATGAATTGAACAGATTGATTCCTTTCTCCCTCAACCCTGGGGAAGCATTGTTGCCCACAAGATGTGGAGGAATTAAGGGTTCACCTCTGACACAAGCACGCTTTGCTCAGATATTGAAGGAGAGAAGCTATGCCTTTGAGCAACACACACTGAAAAAGAATTGTAATCACTCATATCTTTGAGAGGCACCTTATGCTGTGCCCTCTTCTATGTTGTTCCATGAAAGAAAGGATTCATGAGAAGGAACCCTGCAATAAACAATGTGAGCCTCCTTTGCAGCACTAAATCACTTAGTGAGACGCTGAAGGAAACAGGGATTTTTCTTTAAGCAAGTTCACAGCTTGAAGGAATCTGACTTAGTGACTTGTGAGGTCTCTTCTATGCCCATCACTCTACATTGCTCAATTTCTTCTTTTACATTTCCATTTTTGCAGTTGGATATTTCCATGCAAAGCTATTCAATTGGAGGAATAGGGATTAAAAGCAAAAAGAAACACACTTAAGTGCTCTAGCAAAAAAGGGGACATAAAGTCTTTGTTCGGTAAATGGCAATTCCATACATATTTCCATTGTTTTCCTTTCCGTAATTAGTTAAGCATTTAGGATGATTTCTTAAGTGTTTGAATCTGTTGTAAGGTGTGTAAGATTTTGTAAACCTTCCTAGTGATTATAAGCATTGTTAAAAATTATAAAATACAATATATTTTTGGAGTGCTGGTGTTAAGCATGAAACAATGCAGTAGCTATTGTCTTTAAGAATGATTCGCCTTTTGACATAATTAACCTAACAGATATACTGAGAAAAATAGTCATTTAGAAAAGTATCATACAGATATTTGAGATCCTGGGAGAAAGTGTCATAGTTAGGATAACAATTAGGAGTTGCTACTTTGTTTTGTTTCGCTTTATCATGTTACTTGCAGCAGAATATGACACCAAGTTACTTTCCAAAAGAGTTACTTCATTTGTGGGCCAATAACTTTTGCATTTGAATCTAATATAAATAATCCAGTTTCCACAAACACTGTTGATTGTAGCCATGTTATTTAAGTTGGTATGTTTGTCTTATTGTGTGTGTTGTTTTTTTTTCCTTTGAGTGAATGGCTTTGTATTATGTTTTTCATTAGGAATTGAATGTGTTGTGTTTAAATAGCTTAGTTATAAGCTAGAGTCTTATAAGATTCCTGTCTGGATGGCATCCTTTTATTTACTTGGCTGGGTCTATAAATGCATGTGCATATTATTCCTTTTCACTGACTCTAAGCCAGGAGACTGGTTATCATCTGGTGGCAAGCTGCAAAGATAATTGACAATATGTATTTCTAACTGTAACATGAATCTGCCACTATGCACTGCATATATATTGTCTGTACTAGTATGTACATTTTCTGTTTGGTTCAACTTAGATGAAAAAGAAATAAATATTTGCTCAACCCTTAAGTGCTGACTGAGGAATGTTTGCTAAGTTTGTGCCAGTTTAACTCGAGTTTCATACGCTATCAATCTGAAATGTAAACATGCAATGCCAACCTAGCACCGACTTTTGGTTTTTCAGATGGTCTAAAAGAATCCAATTTGCTTTCCAAGAAAAATCATGGATCTGTTTTCTGAAGGAGAGCGAAGTCCATTAAGTTCCTCCTATTAACACAGTTGCCTTTACTTTTGTCATGTCATGTTTCTAGGACAAGCAGCCAGAAATTCCTTCTACAGCTGGACCATCCAGAGAAGATGGATAGCAGCTGAATGCCTTTAAAGTGGTAATTAACCATATATTTAGGGAACTGTAAGCCTCAGGTCTTATCTCAATATGTGATGTTTGGTTTGATTTTCTTTTTCTTATTTTGCTATTTCTCTTTCCATTTGTAAAATCTATCATCATTAACGATAACTATTTTTTTATGCTTAAAATTTCTAGTCATTGGTAATACATCACTTACTTTCAGGGCAGTGTTTGACAAATCCATCATTAGATACAGATTCAGTTACTGATCAAGTGAAAAAGGGAAACAGTTATGATAACTAGAAATTTGTTACCCATAATCCAATGGGAACAAATGTTTGTACTTCTCAATTTGTTTAAAGGCTATATGGGCAGGCCCTGTATCAAAACCTACATACAATGTAGAGATATGAATTCTGCAAGTTGTTATATGGATAAGAAAATTTAACTTTTTTTCCCCTGAGAAAATATTTATGTTCCATAGCAAAAATCCCGAATCTTTGCTTTGGGTGACACAAAATATGGTGAAGTTTAACTTTCAAAACATAATTGTTTTTTGTTTATGTTGTGAAAAATAATTTTAATGATAGCTCTGGAGGTTTCTCAATCAAGAAACTATAATGATGTAACAATGAAAGTCAACATAGAAAAAGAGAAGATTGTGTTATAAAATGAAAGATACAGTGTGGAAGACAGACATCTCCATTGACCTGAAATGAAGCAGAATGCACAGTGGTTAAGGCTGAT